CTCGGCCCGCCCGCGGCGACCTGCTGGGCCGCGAACGGGCAGCTGGACAGGGCGTCCTCCTGCTTGACCGGGGCGCCCAGGAAGGGCGGCGGCTTCTGCTCGGCGCCCTTGCCCCTCTTCCGCCTCTGCAGCTGCAGGCGCAGCTCCTCCACGTGCCTCTGCTCCTGCTGCAGCTTCCAGGTGAGCTCGTTGATCACCTTCTGCTTCTCCACCAGCATCTTGTCCTTCTCGGAGTNGCACATGCCCGGGTTGTGGGCTCGATCAGTGACTCTCTCCTCATTGATGTTTCTCTCTCTCTCTCTCTCCCCCTCCTTTCCTCTCTCTGAAATCAATAAAGATATATTAAAAATAAGTAAATAAAATAATAAAATCTCAGAAGCGGGATTTCACGGTGCCCGCTTCTCTTTCTGACTTCCTCCCCTTCACCTAGTGTAAATCAGTTTTGCACAATTTTAATAATACTCTTAAAATTTGCCCTATAGCATGTTGTCATGGTTCCCGAGTGAGTCGCAGGCTTATATATCCTAGAGACGCGGAGCTGAATGAACCGAGAGGCACCTTGCGTGTTGCCCGCCAGCCCCATCCGGGGTCCTCGTCCCCATTTCACTCACGAGAAAACTGGCACCTGCTTGAGTTCAGACGTCAGCTGGCAACCTGTCCCCCGGAGCATGCTGGCACTCGGGGTGCTGCCTCCTACCCTCCGACAGGTCCTTTCTGTGGGCGGTTCTCAACCCGAGCAGGCACCAGGGCCCCTGGCCTGGGGGTTGTTGCACAAGCAGCTGGGCCCTGCCCGAGTTTCTGATTCGGTGGGTCAGCCATGGGGGCCGAGAACGTGCGTTTCTGACCAGCGCCCGGGGGCTTGATGCTGCTGGCCCCGGACCAGTGTTTGAGAACCACAGTTGTACACTAACGTCCTGTCCTAAGGTTAACAACTGGCCGGATAGCAGTGCTACATCAGAGAGAGGACGTGTGGCCATAAGGCCATCAGTCCCAGTGCTGGCCTGACATACTGGCTCAGCGATCACCCCGCGCCTCAGCTCCACTTCTGTGAAATGGGGATAATCAGACCCACCCTATCTATTTCTGTGAGGGTTAAAGTAGCTTAAAATGTGTAAAGCACTTGGAATAGCGCCTTGCAGACGGTCAGTGCAGTGTAAGGGTTTGTTATGATTATTATGTTGACATACGTAGAATTACTTCATCCCTGCACTTTTTTATAATGTTCATAAATTTTAACCGTCAGCTATCTAAAAATATGGAAACTAAGTGATATAGTGTATAGAAAGGTTGGATACTTTAGATCTATTAAAATCAATGCTATAGATATTTGTTCATATAAAAGAATAAATAATTGTTTATGGCATATTATTGCATTAAAAAGTTTGAATTGCTTGATTCTATTTTTCTAAGAATTATATAAGTATGTGTGTGTGTGTGTGTGTGTGTATTTTTAAACCTGTGCTTGAAGATGAAAATCTCTGGATAAAAATGTGCAAAAATGTTAATGATGGTTCTCTTTATCTGTATTTCCTAAGTATTTCCCATAAGCATATTACTTTTATAATTAAAACAGGAACTATATTAAATACCTGAACGTCAATAACTCCATAAAACAGTTGGAATAATCTATAGGGAAATATTCTCCTAATATTCTGTAGGGAAAGATCTTTTGAGCAGAAAAACAAAGAAACTAATCATAAAAAGTTGCAACAAAATTTGAAAACCCCTATCAGTCACCAAAAAGAAGATGTAAATGCAAATAGAATTTTAAGAAAAAATAATGGCAGGGAAATAAAATATTTTTCTCAATGTGTAAAGTGTGTTTAATGACCCAAAAGAAAAAGATGAACACCCAGTACGAACACGGGTAACAGACCGCATCCAACTCTTCGCACGACATAAGACGTTTAAATGGTAAAAATGCATGTGTGCCGTCATCAGTAGTCCAAGACATGCACATTAACAATGTACATCTTTTTGCGTTCATCTAATTCACAGTGAAATTTGTAATAGCACTTTGTGTTACTTAAATAGCAGTAAAAGTAAGTGAATAAAAAAATATTTTTAATTTGTTTGAGAGAGCGAGAGAAACATCGATCGCTTGCCTCCTGCACTCGCCCTGACTGGGGATCAATCTGGCAGCCGGGGTATGTGCCCTGATCAGAATCGAACCTGCCACCTTCTGGTGCACGGAAAGGCACGCCAACCAACTGACCCACACTGGCCAGGGCTAAATTTTTTTTTTTTTTTAAAGCTCTTTAATACTTCATACCTGGCTATTCCAAGAATGGTCCTTGGGCCAGCAGCACTAACAGCATCAGGATCAGGGAGCATGTTAGAAATGCAGAATCTCAGGCCCCTCCCCCAACACTGAATCCGAAGCTGCATTTTATTAAGCGCCCCCAGGTGACTGGTGTGCACAACCAGGTCTGAGAAGTGCTGCTTTAACACACTGCTTCTGGGGACAGCTGGGCACAGATGTTTGGGACAGAAATTTGGCAATATATACCCAGAACTTCTAAAATTACTAATATGTTTTCATTCAGGGATTCCATTCCTATGTATTTAGCCTGGGGAGATAATTAGAGAAATTAATAAATGTACGTACAAATTATATTTTTAACAGCAAGTATTTGGAAGCCAGTTAAATGTCCAACTGAGGAATGTTAACTGGCAGTGAATTGATGATCTGCTGCTATTAAAAATTAAAATGTTACTGACTACTAAGAGTTACAAAAAATGTTTATATGTTAAATAAAAAAGTATGCCAGAAATTTATGCTCACATAATTATTTTAAAACGATTATTTTAAAACAAAATATGTCCATATGCATTTCAAGTCTAGAAGGAAATGTAATCTGTAATGCTATTTGTAAGCCAACTGTCTTTTAAAATACTCTTTACTTCTCTATACACTATTATATTACAATAGTGAATATACATTACTTTACACTCAGCTAAAAGTTATTTTAAAAGGATTACAACACCTTACACTGCCACAAGCAATAAATATGCTAATTATTGTCACTAACCAGCCAGGGATCCTGAGAATACGACCTCTGGGGCTCTGACAGCTGGTGGTCATATCTGGACTATGCTTTCTCTGAGGCCAAGGCATCCCCAGCCCTACCTGACCTAGGCTCCCATCCAGAGTTAGACTACTTTAAAAAGAAATTTTTTTATCGAGGTAAAAGACATATAACATAAAACTTACCATTTAATCATTTTTCAGTGTACAGTTCAGTGGCATTAGTACCTCAACAATGTTGTGCAAATACCACCATCATCTCCAGAACCTTTTCATGATCTCAAACTGCACCTCTGTNGGCATTAGTACCTCAACAATGTTGTGCAAATACCACCATCATCTCCAGAACCTTATGATCTCAAACTGCACCTCTGTCCCCATTAAACACTAACTCTCCCCTCTCCTCCCCCCCAGCCCCTGGGAACCACCAGTCTACCTTCTGTCCCTAAGAATTTTACTCTAGGTACCTCATGTAAGTGGGCTCATGCAATATTTGTCTCTTTGTGCCTGGCTTATTTCACTTAGCGTAATGTTTTCCAGGAGAGCGAGCTGCTTTTATCTCTATGGCTTTATGATCTGGGCGTGGAAGGCGGTGACCTACGGCTCTGGGAGCATTATCACACGCTTGGCTCCTCTCCTGGGTTTATGGGTGCCAAATTAAAACCTAAGCACTGTACTCCAAGGGGAAGGAATAGAGGAACCTTTGCTGTTACGACCCAAGATACGTTTTATTTACTGGTGTTGGCACTTGACAGCCATAGAACTTCCTTTAATTGGAAATAACCCCAAATCCTATCCCCCCCCCCCCAAGAAAATAATGACCACGGACTGAGAATGGGAACGAGGGTGACACGTGAGGACTGAGAAAGGGCCATGACCTTGGCCCAGTGAAGACTATGGGGACTTTTGTGAATTTAGGTTTTTGGGGAAAATGCCAAGGCCCTTGGCTGGGGGAGAATAGTAGGTGAGGTGGAAACACACCGGGCTCGAGTCAAAGCTCAGGAGCACTTCAGTGAACCGAGGCCATGTGGCCTGTGCCCGGGAGGGAACCGCTGGCACTTACCTGCCGTGTAACAAGTTGCTGCTACATTTCAGAAGGCCTCGGGTTGGGGGAGTTCATAGAATAGTCTAGTGCTTTACATTATATAATGGACACAGAGTTACCAACATTTTATCTTGTTAAATAGGACTAATATCCCTATTTAATAAGATTCTTTTTAATAAAAAGAAACAAAACTTTCCCAGAAACATTCAGCCTTCATTACTATCATCATTTCCTACTGGAAAGTATCCTTCATCATTCAAAAGATCCACAGAAAAGAAGTACTTTGAATAAAGACTAGTCAGATCTGTTGAACATACTTAGATTTATGAAAAGCCCTTTAGATGGTTTTTATTTGTGTCATTTCACCAGAGGTTGGCAAACGGTCATCATGGAATTGAGCGCTGGCTTAAAGCTCATGTCAGTCCCACACTGCTCTCTGTGCTAAGCTTTACCATGCATCTCTGATTCCATTTGATTTTCATGATAAATCATTTATGCAAATGAGGGGCCTGAGACACAGGAAAATTAAGGAACTAGCCCAGGGTTGCACAGCTAGCAAAAGCGCTGAGCTGGGTAGTCAGCCACAGCAGTTAACGTCTGTCACCTCCTCGAGTCTCTCTCAGTCTTCTCCATCCCACCGTTCTATACAGGAAATCAGCTGATGAAAATGCGATTTAAAATGTACTGATGTATTCGTTTAAAAAAGAAAGAAAGAAAAGAAAATCATGCCAAATCTTATACCTTCAGGTCATCTAGGTTTGATGGGAGGGGGCCTGGTTTGAGAGGAGAGACACCAGTTGGTCCAGAAAAGCTGCTTTTGACAGGCGACAAAGGGGTGCTGCTCAGCGGTGTTGAAGAAGAGTTCTGATTTCTGACCATCTGCTCGTTTGGTTCCCTGAAAAACCAACCAAAATAGGGCACATAAAATACGGCCAAATCTATATATGTGGGTGTGATACTGTGATTTATAATAAATACATATTTGGTCTTCATATGGTTTCTGGCTCACAGCTCCTAAAACCCTTGGAATTTCCTAAGTGACAAAGGTGTCTTTTGTTATGTTAATGAGGTGACTTGGGACTCTAAGGAAGGATGCTGGTTGCCAGGAGAATCTATCATGTGATTAGAGGGTTCAAACTTTAGGTCCCACCGCCTTCCCACCCCCTGACCTCTAGGTGAGAGCGAGGGACTGAAGATTGAATTCAGTGATGGCCAACGATCTGGTCAGTTGTGCCTTTGTAATGAAGCTCCCAGAAAAACCCAAAAGGTTGAGGATCGGAAAGTTTCTGGGTTGGTGAACACGTGGAGGTGCTGGGAGAGTGGTCAACTGGGAGAGGGCATGGAGCTCCACGCCCTTTCTCCACACCTTGCCCTGTGCATCGCTTCCGTCTGGCTGTTCCTCAGTTATATTCTTTCATAATAAACCAGTGATCTAGTGAGTAAAATGTTTCTCTGGGTTCTGTGAACTGATCTAGCAAGTTAATCAAACCCAAGGGGAGGCTGTGGGAACCCCTGACCTATATTTGGTTGACCAGAAGCCCAGGCGATGACTTTCTGGACTTGCAACTGGCATCTTAAGGGGGTGAGGGAGGCAGTTTTGTGAGACTGAGCCCTTAACCTGTGGAATCTGGTGCTATTTCCAGGTAGCTAGTGTTAGAATTAAGTTGAATTGTTGGACACCCAGCTGGTGTTAGAGAATCACTTGGCGATGTAGGGAACACCTCCCCTGCATAATGGAATTGGGTGATCAGAACCTTAGGGGGTGACTTCTATTTAAACCAGATCACAAGTTAATTGTCTACAAGGATCAGGGAAGTAATAAGTCAGCAGAAGGGCAGGGTGAGGAAAACCACAGCAAGTGGCCAGTGACACTCAGGCTGAGTTTGAGGGAGACAGGAGGGAGTGGTGGAGACTTTGGCATATGGGTGGGGCATATCCACACATGATTTAGCAGATGCCACCCTGGGGAGGCTGAAGCATGTTGGGAACCTGGCTGTACTCAGCATAATGGCCAGCGTCACCCAAGGCTGAGCAGGGAGAGCACTGAAGCCACATCCCAACTTCACAGTTGAGGAGACTGGCCACTGAAGAGGTGACCTGGCAATGAGGTCACACTCCGGGGCTCATGGTCAATCTTTTCTTTCTCATTATAAAAGCAATACATCTTTATTTCAGAAAATTTGTGGAGGGAAGGAAAAAATTTTAAGTAGTAAAAAAAATTCATAATTTCACTGGCCAGAGATAACTAGTGTTAGTATTTTATGGCTATTCTTTGAGTTTGTATATTTTTAAATTAAATTTATTGGGGTAACATTGGTTAACAACATTATATAAATGCCAGGTGTACCACATTATAATACAAAAATAAGGGAGTCAGTCTTTGAGGTTGTCAATCGGTTAAGCAACCCTGCAGCTCCCTAAGATACAAGTGCTGAGCCAGCTGAAGGAAGGCAGCCTGTGTGAGGATCGCTCGCGATTCCAGCGTGCACCCTTGCATGGTTTCCTCTCTGTCCCACAGTCCAGTCTCAAAGTGGTCACACTTCGCCTTTTCCCAGGAGGCCCCTTACCAGGGGCGTCGATTTCCTTGCTCCCTCCCGGCCTTGTGTTCCTGAAAAGGTGTGCGCGGCTCTAAACATACCAGGCGAGGACAGGATGCAACAGGGGACTCGCGGGCCTCGGGGTGCTGGGCCCCAGGGTGCAGGCCCAGGCGCCCAGACCGGAGAGGACCCATCCCGCCCCCTCCTGCGGGCAGCCCGGCTCGGGGACTCACTTGAGCTGCACGTGGCGCGCCCCGGGGTAGCTGAAGCGCTGCTGCTGCTGGCTGAGGATCTGCAGCTGCAGGAAGAGCTGCTGCTGCTGGAGCAGCCGCGCGTAGGCCGAGTCCATGGGCGGCGGCGACTTCTCCGCCTTCTGGTCCGGGGGTATGTACTGGTGGTATTTGAGCTTCTTCACCTTTGGCTTGGGGTCCTTGGGCTTTTTGTGGCGGTTCTTGCTGTCGCTCAGGGACTTGGACTGCAAGGCGATTAGGACACGCAAGCGCTTTAGGTGACGGACAGGCGCGGCCCGGGGCCGTGGGCACCTACGGGCAGGCTCTGTCTCATAGAGGCTCTCGAACCTCGGACACACGGACTGCGCATGCCCGGGGTGCGAGGAGGTCCCGGGACACTGAGACAGTAATGAGTAAGCCCACTGCACTGTGTCGCACTGAAAGGACACCCGTAGGTGGGGAATCCTGAATTTCAGGAGTGACTCCTGGGGTGTTTTCTTCCCAGAGTAGAGTGAGATGGAGTCTGTGTTTCAGCAAGAACGCCTTCCTCACCTCACACCAACCGGCGGCCTAAGGAAGGTACATTCTGATCTCTGATCTCAGGGCTGATTCACGGGAAAGCTAAAGCTCTTTCATGTGTACACATGGAGTCACAGCTAGGGAAGCACTTAGTAAAACGACTTAGTAATGACATAAGCTTAGATGACATTAAGCTTGTCTTTGAGAATCCAGAATGTGAAGCCTTATTGCTTCAGGCTGAAAGTAAGATAAGCTGTCTCTCCCCCCACCCCCAGTCCTGGTCCTGAATCAGGAAGGGGCACCCTGGGAACTGATGACACTGTACTCACTGTGGGGAGGCTTAGCACGCCCTGGGGCCCTTCTGGAGGTGACCCTTTATGGAGCATGACTTGGACACATGGAAAGAAGTTAAGGGTACAGGCTAGGGAGTTAAGAGAAATTTCTGAGCGTGGTGTAATTAAGTTACTACATCGTAGTTACCTCACCTGCAGGCTGGGGAAAGTATTATCTACTTCCTATCTCAGGATCAATATAAGGGCGATGAAAGACAGCACTGAAATAACAGCTGGTTTCAGAGGACAGAGTGACTGTATCTATAACCTGCTCCTAGAATCAAAAGGCCTCCATATGGTAGGAATTAACAGGCCCATACTGGGATCAGTTGAAAAATACAAATTTTCAAACCTTGACTTTATTCCAGAAGGTGGAAAAGAAGACCATGGATGTCATGACAGAAGAGTCTTGAGAATTTGAGGAACCGGTTTAGGGAGAGTGTGGTTCCAGCAGCGCCCAGAAGAGGGGGCTGCAGAACCGCTGGCAGGCATGTTCGGACCCGGCAGCTGCCGCATTTTCGCCACAACACACCCGTCTGAAGGTGACCTACTGGACCGAGCTGACCGCTTGCTTTCCCTGACTCAGCACATCCCACCACCGAAGCCTCTTCTGCGCTTTCTCGAGGCTTCTTCTCGGACACTAATGCACAAGGAGCCCAAGCCTTTGTCCCGGCCGGCGAATCGAATCGGTCAGCACTGTCCCCCTCCCTTGGGAGGGTTTCTTCAGGGCCCTGCAGCCGCCCTGCCCTGCTTCGCTCCAGCCCAGCTTCTGCTCCCACCTCATCCCAGGACTCGCCCTGTCTGGGGAGCTGCGGCCTGGGTCCAGCTAAGGAGCTTTCTCTCCAAGTCGGTCTCTCCATGCAGGGACCGAGCCATCCAGAGGTCCTGAAATCAGACCATTTTCTCTGCACCGGGAGGGAGGGCAAAGGCTACTGAACACACGGGGCTCTGAATTCATGGAACCTGTGGCTCCACGCTCTCTCTGAGACCAGGCGCCACTAACATTGTGGATCTGTTTTCCTGTTTCCTACCCAGGACTCCATGACCAACTGTGAAGAACATTCATCTTTCCAAAGCAGAGGCGCCACAGTCGTGGGCCTCAGACCCAGGTGTGAATACGTAAAGCAGGTGAGGGGCATGTGACAGGGAGCAGGGTGGCCTGTGGCCTAAAGGCTTTCTCATCCTACCCTGCCTGCCCATAGTCGGTGCCCAGTGAGGTGATGTCCAAGCTCTAGTCTGCCCGCATAGTCGGTGCCCAGTGAGGTGAAGGCCAAGCTCTAGTCTGCCCGCGCATAGTCGGTGCCCAGTGAGGTGAAGTCCTAGCTCTAGTCTGCCAAGGGAGACCGTTCACCACACGGCCTAGACCTCCTCTCTCCAACAGCTCACCCCTCCTTCTCTTTTCCTGGCAACTTTCTGCTGTTTGCAACTCCCCCCACCACCCCTTGCTATCTGACTCCGGCTCATCCTCTGAGTCCAGCTGAAACCTCAGCTCACCTGGGAAGCTCTTCCTAACTCACAGTTACGTCTCTTATCTGCAGGTCTCATATGGCATTTTGAGGCAGCCTGAAGGCAGTGGTCACACCCCTGCTGAGGGGAGAGGGGGACTGAAATCCAGCCCTCATTGTGCTCCCAAGGCTGTTGGCCCTGAAGGGGCACAGTGGCTGCCTGGGGAAGGGGAACCTCTTTTTATATTGTGGTAAAATACAGGTAACACAGGATCACCATAGTAGCCATTTTAAAGTACACGATTCAGTGGCATTTAAGGCAATGCTGTGTGTCCTCACTATCTAGTTCCAGAACATTCTCATCGCTCCCGGAGGAAGCCCCCTGCCCCTGAGCAGCCCCTCCCCTCCCTCCTCCTGCAGTCCTGAAGCCGCCAGGTTCATTCTCGGTGTATCACGAATCAGCGCTTGGGCCTCTTTCTGGCTGAGTAATATTCCACTGTGGGGATAAGCCACGTGTTCCTCCATCCTTCAGCCGATGGGCATTTGGGTTAGTTTCAACTTGGGACTATTGTGCATAGTGTTGCTATGAATATTCATGTACGAGTTTTTGTTTGAACATCTGTTTTCAGCTCTCTTGGGCACATACCTAGGAGTGGGATTACTGGGCCCTGCGATCATGTTCCCTTAATTATTTCCGTAGTGGATGCACCATTTTCCATTTCCACGGGCGATGTACGAGAGGCCGTGTGAGTGTCCCAGGCTCCACGTCATCACCAGCACTTGCTATCTCCCTTTCTTTTCTTTTTAAACTATAGCCATTCTGGTGGGTGTGATGTGGGATGTTGTTGTGGTTTTGGTTTGCGTTTTCCTGCTGACTAGTGACAGTGAGCGCCTTTTAATGTGACGACTGGCCGTTTCTTTGGAGAAATGTCTAGTCAGGTTCTTTGGGGCACATTTTCCTTCCTTGCTCAAAACACTCTAAGGGTCAGTGGTGGCTGCGATACCCACGTGGACTACAGGCTCCTGGAGGGCAGGCGCTGTGTCCTGTTCAGCTTTGACACACCCCTGGAGCCTGCGTGGAGAACACCTGTCCCTGTGTAAGTGACTTTACAGCCTCCGGGGCACTGCTGTGCATTCTCGCAGTGGCTCACATGAACCTCACGGAGCCCCCAGCTCAGTGGCCTCCATTTCTGAGAAGCCCTCCAGCACCCTCCGAATTTAGAGATGAGGAGTATTTAAGGGCTGAGGAGTCACAGGCACTGGCCTATCGGAAGGAACGTCAGCTGCCGCAGAAAGCGCGGGTCCTGCGGGATCCGCGGCCTCAGCCCTGCTCTCTATTAAAACAGACCGGTCCTTCCTGAGGGCGACTCTCATTCTCTTAGTGCACCGAGGCCAAGGCTTTGCTAATTTGAATCATGAAATTTAAAATGCTTAGGCAGAAGTGTTAATAAGATGCCTTTGCACACAGCACCGGGAATATGTGAGTCATCTCCTTTCACCTGTAGTGAACAAACTTCAGGAGTCACACAGTCTCCAAGCTGCTGAGCTGAGTGGACTGTAAGGGAGGGTTGTTGAGGTTTGGTGGGGCTGCTTTAGCGGGCGGCTGACATGCCTGCCACCCAGCTTTGCATATGCAGGGGAGGGGCTGTGGGACTGTTGCTTTAACATCTATTCTGACTCAATTTACAACCGCTAAAGAAATATTTCCTAAGAGGCATCTCAGCATTGATCACCTGGTGGTCCCAGAGGTGATAAGATATACTCCCAAGCCGGTGGGCAGCTATGAAGGGGGCTAACCGACAGGCTATCAGGCAGCTGGCTGGGGAGAGAGCACTCTGTGAACGATTAGATATAATTCTGAGACGCTGAAACCCAAAATGTGCTCTACTGCTAATAGTTACTTGCCCACTTCGAATAAAATCCCTCCCTTGGTCTCCATTCGGAGACTGCCTTGAGTGATGGTGGTCTTACTTGCGCAGGTCCTTCAGGTCTGCTTCCCTTGCATAAAATTCCGCTCCCCCTACTCATTTGATGGCACTTACAAATCTGTGTGTGTTACAACCAGCTGTGTCTACCTCTAGGACGAGCTTAGGAAGCCTTTTGAGTCAGGAACACACCAGCTGAGCTGTGAGTCCAAAGCAATGCAAACACACAGGCCTCTCCTCTGCAGGGGACCTGTGCTGTGCTGCGTGGATAATAGGACCTTGGTCCGTATACCCTGGTGGCCCATTGCTCAACTCGCCACGCGATGTTCCCGGGGGACTGAACCTATACAGGAGTCTCAGTGACTCTCCTGTGCTGCCAGGCCCCACTGGAGCTCAGAAAGCGGTGCCCAGAGCCGGCTCTGTGAGCCAGAGCTCAGGCAGGCATGGGAGGGGGCCCATCCTACCTTTACAGCAGCGTGCACAGGGTTGGGGGTGCTGAGGGGGCTGAGCCCCTGCTTCCCTGTGTCCGACTGGTTGCTGGGCTGTGAGGCCGGGTCATTCCTGTCATTTTCTGAGCCAGACGTTAGATCCTGAAATCCAAATTGTAGCATTATTAGGATATAAGAGTAAAAACTGTGAGACAAAGAGGAGTTAAAGTAGAGCCCCCCCCCCCCACACACATAGCTCTGCTGTGTGTTTTTTCAGTCTTCACATGAGAATATGTTTTTATTGGTTTTGTGAGAGAGACACAAAGAGAGAGAGAAACATCTATGTGAGAGAAACAACAATTGACCAGGGATCAAACCCACAACCTAGGTATGTGCCCTGACCAGGAATCGAACCTGCAACCTTTTGGTATACAGATGACACCCCAACCAACTGAGCCACTGGCCAGGGCCAGCTCTGCTGTTTTAATCCTAGCTTCATATCCAAGTACACTTAGATTACTTCCTCCAGGAGAAGTTATATATATAATTTGTCAACCAATTGAGGACACTTTGAGGAGAGGAAGGGGTCAATATTAATAATTTCTCCACAAGACAGGTGTAGAGCTAGCCTAATCTTGGCAAACTGGGACATCTGGTCACTCTGAGTGAGGGTTCCTCATGTCTGTGACAAGGTCCACCTGTTGGACTTGACAATGGAATTGAAAAAGGGAGAGGGAGGAGTGGGTGTAGGAACTGTGGGAAAAGTAGCACAACATGATAGATGATAGGGTGTTAGCAGATGGAAGAAAAGTGTGTGTATGTGTATGTGTGTATATGTATTTCTTTGTATATGTGTGCATATATGTATGGGTTCTGTGCATAGCTGTGTGTCTCTGTGTGTGTGTGTGTGCACATATATATGTATGTGCACGTGTATATGTAGGTATAAGTGTGTGTTTGTATGTATATCTATGGGCANGCATATATGTATGGGTTCTGTGCATAGCTGTGTGTCTCTGTGTGTGTGTGCGCACACATATATGTATGTGCATGTGTATATGTGGGTATAAGTGTGTGTTTGTATGTGTATCTATGGGTGGCTGTGTGTATGTGTCCTGTGTATGCATATGTGCATTTAATGTATATGTGTGTATGTGTCTGTGTGTACATGTATGTGTATCTGGTATGTGCATCTGTATATATGTATGTGTGTTTATGTGTATTTATGTACATGTGTGTATATGTACGTGTATTGCATGTATAAATGTAGGGGTGTGTGTGCGGGAGTGGACTTGGAAGGAAATGTAATGATGTCCTCTCCCCTTCNTATGTACGTGTATTGCATGTATAAATGTAGGGGTGTGTGTGCGGGAGTGGACTTCACTCCCCTTCTGTGACCTTCACAAACAGGGCAGGGGCTGCTCAGGATCACCGCCTGGGGCTTCCCGGTCCTGCCCTGAGCCGGACACCCGTCCAGGTCTGTGGGGCCCATCCCCTCAGAGCCCGTGTCCTCAGCGGCTACATGGGGCTGCTGGGTGAGGTGACAGATGACCCTTGCACCCTGCCTGGGCTGCTCAGTGCCGGTCCCTCCTCCTCTCTCCTAGGGCGAAGCAGGAAAGTGCTGGCCCTGTCCTCAGACCATTCTTGAAGCGGAAGCCGAGGAGCCTGCTGTGGGAATAACGGTGCGAGCGGCCTGGTGCCGTCGGAAGCGCCGCAGCAGTCTGGCTGCGGGGCGCCGGGGGGCGCGCTGACTATGAACGCGTGCCCTATGTGAGTGTCTCGGCTCTGCTTCCTACGTCTCCCCTTTCCCCCCAAGTCCACATTGCTCCCCGGCAGCCTTAGCTTTGCTTCGATGGAGGGGAGGAGGGCCGACGGCTAGGAAGCAGCCCAATTTTGGGAAATAGGGCTCCAGATAATAATTACCAAACGATCCCTGATACACGTATGGTGCTTTACAGTGTAAAAAATATTTTCAAATGTAATGTCTAACTTCAGTCCATCGAATAACTCCTGTGAGGCCAAGAGGAGTGAACTCTGGATTAAGGGCAGGGACGGAGGGTCTGGAGAGTTCTCCCCAAGTCTCCCATCTCACGGCCACACCAGCGGGTCTCCTTCCCCTCCTGCGTGGGCGCCCCACACCCTGCTCTTAGGGCTCCCTGAGTACCCTGTGCTGGTGGAGGACGATCCCATTAGGCCTGGTGGCTCCACGGGCGGGGGGCGATCTGCCGCGTCCCGGAGACCTCACGGCTCCCAGCCACAGAGCCTCAGCTCCTCCCCGTGGGAATCAGCATTGGTGCCCCCTGCGGGAGTGCGGGGCTGAGCTCCCCAACAGACAGCGCTCAGGAAGTGGCTGGAGCGGCCCCAGCACAGTGAGCGCTCAGTGCCCCGCAGGGGCTGTTGTTTATCATCATCGTTGTTCTTTATAAATGTGCTTTGAGCAACATTTGCAATATACACTCTTCACATTTTAAGAGTTGGCGGGTTTGTCCAGGAGGTGAGTGCAGCGCTGNTATACACTCTTCACATTTTAAGAGTTGGTGGGTTTGTCCAGGAGGTGAGCACTGCGCTTGGTTTGGGGCTGGAAAGGGGCCTTGCGGGGTTTGGTTTCCGCAGGTAGAAACCTGCCACCTTGGAACCAACGGGGCCTCCCTGTTTTGTAACCGCAGCGCCCTCTAGTGACTGCCGCGCGCGGAAGGACGGGGCTTTGAGAGCGGGCAGGGAGCTGGCAGGGAGCTGGCAGGTGCTCCGGAGGCTTCGCCACCACACAGAGAACCCTGGGCCCAAGGGGCGAGAAAAGGCGCCAAGGTGAGATGCCGTCCAGGACCGCCTGTGGATAGCGGAGCGAAACCGACTATGAAACGGTGACAGGCTGAGATGTGGTTTGTTTACCTGCATTGTCCCCGGAGGACCTGCCAAAGGGGTCTCCGTAGCTTTGGTGTCTGGGGGAGACCTCGCTGGGCCCTGGGGGTCTTCGCTTCTTGTGTGATCTGGAGAAAGCCCGTCGCTGCTGCTGTCCTCCTCGAAGGCAAAGGCATCTGCCGATTTGGAGAAACTGACCTGGTTCCCTGAGGGAGGGAAATCCACAGCTGGGTCAGTGGCGTGGGCACACCGAAGGCATTCTGGACACGCTTCAGGGCGTCACCCCGTTAGGATCAGCTCCTTCATCTGCTTCCCGTTCACGGTCACAGTGAAGATACATTTTAAATTATTTCGTTTCCCACCTACTTACTCATTTGGGAACTTGCGTTTATAAAGGTGGCATGTTTAGCAGGAATGAGTTGCCTATGAGAACCCACAGAAAATGTTGACACCAAATCAGGGAAGATGAAGGAAAGAAAAGGGGCCACTGGACGCAGAAGGAAGCCACCGGAGGGAGCACTGGGGGAGGCCACCTCCCTCGGTTTCCCAGTGAGAGACGGAACTGAGACGACAGCATGTCATCTGTATCGACTTCGAATGTAAAACAGAACACATAACAGGACGAGCCGGGACAGCTCCTCAGTTTAAATTCCTAATGTCAGAATTAGCTAATGTCACCAGGGTGTCCCAGGGCTCCATTCAGCTACTGCGTATCTGTTTATAGAAGCCAAAAATGTGTCTCGGAAACGTCAGGGTGAGCCTTGTTTGTTTATTGTTTGAATTTTCTTTTTACTCCTCCTATCCCTGTGCCTATTTTGGAAATTCTCACCAGCTCGCACCTGCAGAGATCCTTCCTCAGCAGCCTGCATGCCTTTGGGGGACACAGGTACATTAATTAGTTTGGGGAGAGGGTTTAACAGACCAGATGGGACTACAATGACATCCTTCCATGTCCCTTATGTTTCTTAATTGCTCGATTTCATCTGGTTTATTGTCCAACTGCACAGGACAAGATGTGCTGAGGCCACATCGCCCATCTGACCCGACTCCAGGCACAGCTCTTGAAAAGGAATTTGCGTTTTATCAGGAAGTTTCCAGCCGGTATTCTGCAATCACACTGACGAGAACTTTTGACTCCTGCTCCGAGCAGATAAGAGAGAGGAGCTCTCACCCTGCAGACTGTAAAGGGAACCAGGAGCTGGAAGTAATGGAACAAATGTGGTTTGGGGCTTGTCATCGCCACCACTGCTGGCATCTGTCACGCCCCTCACTCAGACATCCAAGGGTCAAGTCAGGAAAGAGGCCAGACAAGGACAGAGCAGGTGGAAACTCCAACCACTGGCCATGAGCTGCCTGCTGACCTGGCGAGCCTTGGGGACCATATAGCTGTTCCAGGGAGTCAAGGATCCTTTATAAAAGTCATTATTGTTTTTCTATGATTATAAAAGTAATATACACTTATCATAAAAACTCATACCATAGGAAATGCCATAATGATCCCACTTCCCATGAATACTTTGTTTCCGCTTCTAGATTTATTAATTCTATACATATAGCAAAATATATACACACAAATTTAAAAAGCATGTCACCAAGAGAGGCCTGGGTGAAATATACTGGGACTTGCTCATCTACAACGTTTCCTGCAGATCTTGCCGTCAGCACATAGAGATCTTCCTCAATTAAAAATTATTAATTTTTTGGTGGCAGCTGCACAGCATTCCATTGTATTAATGGGAACTTTTATTTTTCAACTTCTATTTTCTAAAGTGCACTTTATTTACTATTAAAAATTTGAAATAATAGGCAAGTGCAGAGAATAATATAAAACATCTGTTTATGTATCACCTGGAATAAATGCATACTATCGTTTTCTTATGTTTGCGCCAGAAACCTACTCATTTTCTAACAGGGGCATTTCATTGGGAATTTGATAAATGTGATCTTTTTCTTTGAGCTCAGGGGTCACTCCCCCCACTTTAGTGCTCTGGTCTCAAATACCTCCTCTCTCTTAAGAGCCTATAATTAGCTCACAACCTTCCCTTCCCTTCTCTCACAGCAAACCCTAGGCTCCGCAAATAAAGCTGCATTTGTTATTTTCCTGCAATGTGAAAAATGTTCACATATCCCTTTCTCAGGGGATCATTTGCCTGAGATGTCCCAGGAAGGCCCTTTCTCCCGCCTCCATGAATAGGCTCCCATGGCAGACTCAATCTATACACTTCTTCACTTTAGAAGCCATGTTTTCTTTGAAATTCCAAACCCTTACTTAGATTTGTGGAATTAAAAGACTTTGTCCCTGTTAAAAAGATTACATGTATCACTGAGGGCCAGGCGGGCATAGGAGCTAGAGGGGCAGGTGGGGGGTCAAGCCCTCCCCCCTCAGAAATCACCGCATTTCCTTGGGACGCGCTTGGCACGTGGCCTGAGAAGCCTCAGGTGGCTGTGCTTGCCCCTTGAGGAGCTGGTCTTCTCTGCCCACCAGGCCCCCCATCTGAGAGCATGACTGTCTTCTGTCCCCTCTCCACTTCTTCAGTCTCAATGAGTATGGACCTCAGGTGACAGGCTCCTCCCACCGGGCCCCTGCCAGCTCCACCCACGCCCAGAGTAGCACATCTCAAATATGTACAAATTAGAGGGAATTAGTCAAATGGCAAAGTTGTCCAAGCAGCATAACGTGTGGCTAGAAATCTTTCAAGAAGGGTGGGGAGGGAGAGAGAGAGAACACGGTTTCTCTTAGCCCCAGCAACCCTACTTTTCCAGTAGGGGGAGAGCAAATGACAAGAGCAGAAGTTTGTACCAGGACCTCACTTACTAGTGCAGCAGTAACAAAAATGATCAGCACTGGTTAGGCCTCGTAACGGACCAGAGAGTCAGAGGAGGGGGCACATTTTCTGTTTTGAGGACCGTCCAGTTGTTCAGAGCCTGGGCTGACTGGGCGTCCAGCCTCCGGACTCAGAGCCACCAGCAGAGGGGGTGGAAAATCACTTCCCTTCCTGGGGGCTGCAGGGGGCCTGTTTAGTGTTTAGGCAACACTGTAAAACCTGCTGCTTGGCTGCGGGGAGGGGGCACAGAAAACAGCCAGCACCTCTCCTTTCTCCGCACACACCTACTGAGGACACCCCATAGTCCACAGCATATGTTACTTGAGTTTCTGTGATTTGAGGGCTGAATGTGACATCTTGAGTGTGAGAACAAAAAGGTGTGAGATTCTGGGAGGGCGATCGCGATGATTTCTCTGGGACTAGTCTCAGAAAAGGGTTGACGGGCTGGAGGGAGCCCCGCTGTTGCTACCAGGGAATCTCCATGCCCTTCGCACGTTAACATTTGCCGTTTGGTGGCCTCAGATTGAGGCACTGGAATGACATAGAAAAGTCTAGAAGTCAAGTGTCTGGAATAAAGGAGTAAGTAACCTGTCCCATTCCCAAATCCCTCAGTTATTTTACTCACGCCCAGCCTTCCCGCTTTCAGAGGAGCAGAGAGAGCAGAAGCGCACCCAGGTGCCTGCGGTGAGAGGTGGAGGGCCTCAGGGGGGGTTACTCCCGAGGGGGGGTTACTCCCGTGTTGCCACGGGGCACGGTGGGGCATTGTCAGGGACTAGCCTGGGGGGTGCTGCTGGGGCACAGAGGAGGGAGGGGGCCATGTGGGGTCGCCCAAAGACTCTGGAGGAGGCGGGGTTGAGCTGAGTCTGAAATGACTGTCAGCTCCCCACAGGCCCCAGAAGGGGGGGGTGCGGCAATCACGGGGAGATGGGAGGGAAGTGACAGAGTTGGGGTGGGAAGAGTGAGGGAGAATCTCCCCCAGCCAGGAGAGACATCTATTTTGGGAGCCAATCCCTACAGAGACACAGCTTCTGAGAGTCTACCTTACCAGGCGACATCCATCATTTAAAGAGGTTCCTCTGCTTAAATCAACGAAGAAACCATTAGCACAGTCAACCTTCAGGGTAGTTGTTTACACCTGAGTGAAAAAAACAGGGCGAAGGCCAAGGCCCCGAACATGACTTCTGTCTGGTGTCTAAAAGCATGACGTGCCCGGTCAGAACGTGCCGACAGACACCGGAGGACCGCTGTCCAGGCCCAAGACCCCACCGCGGGCCCCCGCCCCTCAGCGCTCCCTCAGCGCGGCAGGCGTCTGAGGCTGTGATGCCAGGGCAGAAGACGAGAGACAGGGCAGGGGGCCCCGCACAGCTACCCCCAGCTCGGGCTCTGCGGGTGGACGGAGGCACCCCCACAGCGGAGGGCCCTGACGCTAAGGCCCTGGCTGCCTCTGGGCTGACGCACGCGGCGCTCGAGCGGGTAGTAAGGAGTCGGGGGCCGGAGCCCAACAGACTTGGTTTGTTCCTTGGTCCTACCACTTCAGTGGCAGAGTGACGGCTGGCAAGTTATTTGACCTCCTGGAGCCTCCGTTTCCCCATCTATAAAAGGGGAGTAAGGACAATAGCTACCTTCCAGGGTGTGGAGGGTGAAAATAACATGCCGTGTGCAACGCAGGCTGTGTTATTTACACAGTCCCTGGGGTGCAGTGTTCAATAGCTTCTAGCTGCTGTTATTGTCAGGGTTGTTTTTGTTAGGATCTCTGCTTGCCTCAAGTTTACTTATCAAAACAAAAAAGACCACCCAGGAGGCAGCTGTCCTGTGGTCAGCTGGGCAAAGGTCAGTGTAGCTTCAGAGACAGAGCTGCTTGGTCCCGAGTGGAGTGGTTTGTTCTGGGAGAGCAGAGACGGACCTTTCCAGGAAGAGTGTGGAAGGAAAGGAGTGTCACTGTCACCGCTCCCTCTCCCCCCTGGTCCAGGCCAGACTCCGTGGTGCGGGACAAAGGTCCCTTATCTGGCTGCCTCTGGATCAACCTCGTCTATCAGCTTCGTGCTGTGAACCCGGCCTCTGCTCCAATCTCCCCGCTGCCGGGCTCCCTGAGAGTGCTGGGCACTGGCTATTGTCCCTGTAGACACTTCGGGCCTGTGATGACAAGGACCTGCTCCGGGAGGCCCTGATATCATCCCCCAGCTATGCCCTCGGGCTGGCTCTGGGCGCTGGCCCCTGGGGATCTTGGCCTGGTGACGCTTAGTTTTCCCTCGCCCTCTTGGAAGTGATTAGATGAATGAGTCAGTTGTACTTTCCTCTGAATAAACATTTAAAATTCCAAGATTAGAGTGAGATCGTTGGAGTCCCAGCTACCTCTCTGCTAGGCCCGCACCGAGGGCCGG